CAGCATTCAACGTAAGTCACGGTCCATCGGTTGGTCGGGATCCCACACCCTTCCGTTGCCGAGATATCTGCGGGACAAAAACCAACCCCCGCTCAAGGAGCGAGTTTGTGGTTTGCCAATAATGGCATGGCGACAGGAGTGCCAGAGGTTACGTTAAGAAGACTTCATCAGTCCGCCAGTTCATGCAAATGCACACAACAGCGCAGACTGCGTGGACTGAGTTGACGCAACATTTCCAGCCACGGCGCTTGACTCACCGTGATAATCTCAGACACGAATTGTAGTGGCCCTACTCCTGTCTCAACACTGGGCCTCTCGCCAGTGTCTGCACGTGCGCGTCATGCCTATCTGACATTCGCTCACTCAGCATTCCAACCGGCCAATCAGATTCAAGGCCGAGTCAGACGTGGTCTGGCTTAAGACGCTTTGACGCATGCCCTGGTGGACACTTGGGGACGCCGCTCACCCCACGCCGGATGTGTCCATGTCCAGCTGCCAACTCTCATCAACTTCTTATCCAGTTATTCTGTACAGAATATATATTATCCTCTCCTCTGATGCACGCATTCTCTTTCTATTCAGGACGGGGGTGGGGTGAAGGTCGTTGTAGCTACTCGCGTCCTAGCCTGCTGCGATAGGATCACACACGCAGCAGAGGAGCCACATGGAGTCGGAGTCCCTGACACAGACTTCGCACTTACACCAGAGGTGTCAACTGTGTGCTCGCGTTGTGGGCGATGGCAGACGATGAAGATGTGTGGTGTACATAGGTGTCCGTGGGGAATGTGTCATGGTGTGGTGTGGCCGACGGTTGTCTACCGCAAGTTTTCATAAATGCGCATCTGACCTAGTAGGCCCATGCGGTGGTCCACTGTCCGTGGGCAATGTAAGCAGTTAAGTTGTATGTGTCCGGTGTATGTGGTTGCTGCAACCACTGGTTCGCCAAGCTCCGTGAGATGCATTTGCCGGTGTGTGGTGAGTTTATGCGCCGACTCCGCACCGCTGTCACCCAGCCGGATCCCCTTGTGTTCCAGTACATCTGCAGTGCGGCCAATGTAGGCGGACAACTTACGGACCTACCAACGCATACGCACCACCTCGCCAACAAAGCCCAGACCTGACAAATCCATCGTCTGAAGCACTCGGCTCAGACTCTAGTTAACCTCGACTTACATATCCGAGACTCAGAATTGTGTTATCACAGTATGATGTTGTAAATGACCATTCATGAAAATTCGCTGTCGCATTGTTCTGTGCTTCTCACTTTTCGCAGAAGATATCGCTGAAATGACTCATTTGACCCACTTACGAAAAACTCGTTGGCTTCCGTGGGATTTGGGGTGGTCATGGATGTGAGATCGACTTTAACAATACACAGTAAGTCCGTTCCGTCTAATGTCAGAAGACAGGGAGCTGTGAGAACAGGCTTATTCTGTACACGGGGTAGGCTGTCGTGAATTGGTTGAGAGCAGAGCAAAGCGTCCGTTTCCGGAGAGCGTTAGTTGTGGTGTGTTGTTTATGCGAGTGTCACGTATTCGTGTCAATGTAACAGCCGGAGGCATGACCGGACGCCCGACCTTGGTTGTTTTAAACGCACTCGCGTTTTTCAGGACCCCGTCTCCGTGGTCAAGTGTGGACGAACGGCCTCCAGTCAACCTACGATTAGTCGTCCTGGTCATTTTTCCGTTTCACTCCGATCCCCTTTTTTGTAACAGTTCTCCATTACTTTTTTAGTTTATAGTGAATTGCATTTCTCCATGTCCTATGGTGTCTCAAATGCTTGTATCTTCTGACTCGCCTTATTTCATGATTCAAGAACTTTTAGACAGAGTCTTTGCAGTAGTCAACCTCTCTGGGATTAAACAATCCACACCTACCTCTATTAACATTCGCGATTCGGCGGCGCTTCCCCGCTTGGACGCTACATCAGCATGCGTCTAGCTGAGTGTCGGAAATGTGTTTGGTTGGTTGGGGGTCGAATTCGGAGGTACATGGCCACAAGGCTACATGGGTTCGTCCG